GTGTGAGCTGCCCTGGCTCTGATGGTCGAACGAAGCCCCAGCAGATCTCTGCCCTCTACCGGGTGGCAGGCAGAAGAAAGGACTTGGGTGTTCAAGGTCTCTCTGCGGCATTGCCTTAACCCCTGCTTCTCTCCCCATGAGTGACTAGGACAGAGCTAGGCGCCCACTAGATAGACCGTGATGCGGAGAATGCAGTGGAACAACATCCTTCCGATGATAAGCTTAAAGGGGAGCACACGCATTTAAGCAAAAGCACAGGTTTAGCAGAAGAGGGGCCCAGCACCAGGAAATTGGAAGAACGGTCTCCAGGTGTCTTTGTGGATGGACAGTTTGGTCTCGCAACTGCGGCTTCTGCTTTAAGGAGTATGACGGTTGCCTTTTGAAAGGAAAGTGCAGTAGTCACATGGAACTTGCCGGAGTGCCAATAATTCTGTAGTCTCCCGGAGTGTTTCCGAAAGGTTGGGAGGGACCCAATTCCTCTTCCTGTGTGGTGTTTCTGTGCAGTGCAGCCCAACTGAGCAGCGCTCAGGCCCTTGCTGGGGGCCTTGGCACACCCTGGGCCGGGTTGTATCTGTCTTGTCGGGACAGGAAACACCCACATTGGGGTATCACGTGTTCTCCAATACTTCGGTTGTCATGGAGCTTGGCAGAATTTGTGGAGAGGGTCTGCGTGTGCAAAAATGTTAACTAAAGGGAAGCAGGCTTTCTGCAAGGTGATTCCTGACTCACGCATGTCCCAAATTGGCCAGTGTGTCTTCAGGCCCTGGGCAAGCGTCCAAGCACCGCCTTCCTGAATTGCTTCTAGCGGAAAAGGAGCCGGTTTCAACTTTCTACACTTTTTAAAGCGCTGCCTCGATTAGACGGGAGATAGCAGCCTGTTCAGCAGTATTACTATTATTACTCTGTCATGGCTATATTTGTAAATTATACTCTTTTTCCTTTGCCAAAAGCAAATGAAAATACATGTTGCGCTGTGAAGCCACCTGAAGCTGCAAAAGATTTTCCCAGACTCATCTGAAATGAACTCTAGGCCCATGGCTGCCCACGTAGGAAGGCTTCTCCATCCCCAGATTATGGGTTCATGCTTTCTTTTGGGGGGGGATTAAAAAAAAGGGCAAATGCTTTTAAAAAAAATAAGTTTTATTATTTCTGTAGAAGTAATGCATTTTGTTGTTTACACAAGTGTTACCTGGAAAATACACAACAGTATACAGAAAAAAACAATCCGCTATAATCTTAGAACCCCAGGAATAACTATTAAAGTTTTGGTATATTTCCTCCTAGCCTTTTCTCTACATATCGATACAAAACTATGGATGCAAAATGTCCCCAATACACTTAGATTACATATTCAGGAACATATTGCAAAAATAATTCTGCACCTTGCACTTTTATCACAAAAGCAAACCACATATAACCGCTGGTAGACTTTCGGTTTATTTCCTCCATCCTTCTGTCTGTATATTGATACAAAACTATGCATGCAAAATGTTCCCAATATAATTATAGTGCATATTAGGAACACATCGCAAAAACAGTTTAGCATCTTTCTTTGATCTCCTACAGTGCTACAGCTCAGACACAATCACTTTTAGAGTCCAGGCGCTCTCCTTCCTAGTCTTTTGTCCGTATTATTGATACAAAACTATGAATGCAAAATGTTCCCAATACATTTATATTACATATTAGGAACACATCGCAAAAATAGTTTAGCATCCTTCTTTGATCACTTTACTACAGTGCACAGCTCTGAGACAACCCCTAGAGAGTTTTGATCCTGTTCCATTTTGTTACATACATTGTATTTACCTAATCCTGTTATTGGTCATGTGGGACGTTCCTAACTGCCACCCTTCACAATACTGGAATGTGCATCTTTGTGTATTCTTTTTCTGGAACTTTCTGTCCACGGACTTTGTTTTTTCTGGACCACACACGTGGACCCAACCTAGTCAAGATGACCCTGGGTCTGTAATGTGGACAGCTAGTGTTTTTCCAGTTGTTATTTGCTTGAGCATAAATTCTTTAACATCCTAGCATGAGTATCAAATCATATGTCCTAGGCAAGTTTCAATTCATTAAATAGAAATGGAAGGTAACGAAGTGCCGTGAGAAGGTACCCTCCTGACCTTTTAATCGATCCACGTGGAAGGCTGTGGAGACGAGTGGCTCCCAGACCTTTCAGTTATCAATCTGTCACAAGTGCACAGTGGTATCTCGTGACATGATGATCCCCGAGATGTCTGAGGCCTGTGCACCCATGAGCCTAAATGTCTCTATCCCCCCATGATCCCCAAAAACTTTTTTTTTAGAGAATTATGTTTGACAACATAACTGAAAACATGCAACAGTAGAGAAAGGAAAACTTTAGCTGGAATCCAACCATCTTGAAGCAACATATTTATTTGTTCTGCAGATTCCCTGTAGTTGCTGCTCCTCCTTTTCAGTCATGGTGGTCATGTGATTTTTGTAGCTCTGAGCTTTACAACTTGGTACCATAAGCATTTCCTAGATGTCTATGTAGTCTTTATAATTATTATTTCTAATGGCTCAGAAAGATTCTACTGCGTGACTAGATTAAATGAATCCCTTCGTTTGCATATTCTGTTTGTCTCCTAAGATTAGTTTGGTTGGTTCTATAGAAAATACCAAATATGGGCCAGAGGCTTTACATGAATTTAAATTTAAATCAAGCTTTTTTTGGTTTGTGCACAGCGACTTGTACACAGCTGGGTGATTTACAGTCACTAATTTACAGTAATCCTGAGTCCCGTCTTGGGCCTCACCTAGAAAGTATCCAGGATGGAGGCAAAGCTTATCCTGGTCAGTTCCACCTGGAAGTTCTCTAACTAAACATACTCCTTCAACTCCATTCCCTACCCTGGTCCTTCCTGTGTACTTGGCCCTGGTGAACAGGTAATGAATGACATAAAGAAGCAGGACAGGTCTGCAAAAAGAGGTCCTGAGGAAAGCCACAGGCAAATCTTTCCCCTCCAGAAGCCTGTTTTCTTGTCTACATTTTTTTTTTTTTACTGCCTTGCTGTATTTATCTTTCAAGGGGTTTGCGAATAGCGAATAGGAAAGCATCTGGAAAAGCCTGATAGAAAAGCAAGATGTTGGAACCGTTAGGATTCTGATGATTGCAGCTCCGTGGCCAGGCCCTCTGACAGTCTGGTCTGGACAAAAGTGGGGGTGGGGGTGGGGGTGGGAAACAGGTGAAGGGGCTGCCTTGGGAGACTCAGACTTCAAGGAAACCAAGACTCTCAGCGGGCCACACCAATGACCTCAGCTCCTTGATCCTAGTGGTGAAGTCACCGGCCCCAACTCCCAGCAGCTGCCTAGACTGTAGAACTCAGCCTTAGAAGGCGAGTGCGCCCAGCTGGAGCAGTCACAGGAAGTGGGAGTCTTTCAGGGCTCCTCCCTAATGGCTCAGTTTACCATCCCCACCATGCTTTAAGTCTCTTTGAACTTGCCAAAGAGATCAATTGTGGAGGGGAGAAGATGAGGCAAAGGTGGCAGACTGGTAAAATACTATGAAGGAGCTGGAAGATCCTTGTTCATTTACTAATAGGGAATGACTGGGGTGTTGAGGGGCAGGGAGATAAACATTTTCTGCAATTGGTGTATCCAGGTTTTCATTTAAGAGTAATGTCCTAATTCGAAATACAACTGCATATATAAAGTCCCAGGGTTACGAGTATCAGTAATACCACAGGTCAAAGGGAAAATAAATCTCTAAAATTTATACCAACTTGGATATAGCCCTTGACTCGTCTTTTAAATACTAATGAACTTCCACTGATTTGCTCCAAACACGGCTTTTGGAGGCTAATTTTATTTGCACCTTGCAGCCTCTCAAGAGAGCCGCCTGTAAATTAATTCCCACCTTGCAGGATCACGTTTTCTCCAAGCGTTGCCCTGAGCTCCAGAGTCCAGGATTCGGAGAACAACCCCAGCCCCCTGCCCCATCATCTGCCTTGATGAGATAGACGAAAGGTATGGTGTTTTTAAAAGCAATCAGCAAAATAATTTGCACTGCAGAGTTCTTATTAGTTTTTTTTTTAATTGGATGGTTGCCTGTGTTAACGGAAATCAAAAGCAGCATACACTCAGTCTCCCAGCGCTGGAGTATATCCAACTGTTTTCCTGTTTGGAGTTCCACTTTTGTCCTTGTCTGTGTGCGCACATAAAATTTTTTTTTTACAGAGTTGCAACCACTGCCTCTTTCTGTGGCCCTGGTTATTGGCATCTAGTTTTCCAAGTAACATTGACACACATCTGTTCAAATCAATGGACGCTCCCATGGTGACTGACTCATTTGGCGGGAAAGACAAGTTTGCTCGCCAATTGGAACAAAGCAGCATGGGTCTTAGGGAGCAGCAAGGAGAAAGAAGTAGTGGGCAAGATGGTTTTGACTTACAGATCATAAAACACTTTCCAATAACATTTTTAAAGGATGTATACTATGACACTCAGCGATTGATTCTCTTTTACTCCCCTATCGTGGGACCCTTTGATGGTTTTCAATATCTAGTGAGTTAAAAATGCATATAAATTATAGCCTTTACGAGATGGTTGTATTTTCTTGAAACAGGAGTCTTCTGTGTCCAGATCCCCGCCAAGAGTGTTGATGTAGTGTTCCTTTGTTGGGGGAAAGGGGGAGGGGTATCAGTACTGCTAACTGGACATGCTAGATGCCTTCAAAAATATTCCTGGGGTTGAAAGTTTTTAATTCTAGTTCTCAATTCTAGTTTATCACAGTCACCTATCTTGTCCCACAACTTACAGAAACGTTGCATTTTCTATTTAGAGCTAGACTAAGGTTTTCTTACCTCAAGGGCTGAGTGTGTGTAATAAACTTTATATAATGCCACGTGCACACAGCTTCCACACTAACAAATAACACCTGTGTGTGTGCCGGGGGCAAGGGGGGAGAATGAGAAAAGAATGAAAAGGTGCCTCGTTGAAGGTGGTAACATCGGGTCAATTAATCAGCCGACTATCAGTTGATTGACTTTATACAAGTCTCCCACACATGATGATGTACATCTCGCAAGGTTGAAAAACAATTTAAAAGAATACCTTAGGGAGCTGTGAAAGAGAATTTATAGTCTGGAACGAATTGCCATCTTCTTAATTGACACAGAAATGTTTGGCTAAAATATTGCTTTATTCACGTTTTTGTCCTTGGAGGAGAATCTAGGCAGGCTCACAGCAACTTCAAGCGTGTAAATAAAAGTGCAAGGAATGTTTTAAGTCAGAAAAGAGCACCCATGCAGCGCAAGCTCGGCGCCTTTTGCCCTCCCTCCCCCCTCCCCCAGCAAAGGGTTGCTGGGATCCTGGAAGGCAACGCCCCCAAAAGTCAGGATCGCTAGCTTCCCGCCCTCCACCCTTCGCGATCCCGAGCCGGCCGGCGCCTCACCTGGATGCTGCAAGCGCCCACAGGAGCCGGTTGGCGCGCGCACAAGGTCCTCCGGGAGGGCTGGGTGCTTCCAGCGCCGGATGGCACAGGGCCTCTTTCTGGCTTGAGGGGGAACCGTGCAGGACAGGGAGAAAGGGAGAAGCGAAGCTGGTGAAAGGCAGAAAGGGAGTCCTAAGGTGCCTCCCCCCACAACCCCCAAGTGCAAAGGCAAGCGGGTGCGGGAACCTGTTTGCCATTCGCGCCTGGGGATTGCGGGCCAGAGGGGCCTTAAGCCGGTGGGGCGGGAACAGCGCGGGGGCTCCTAGGCTGAAGAATCGCGGCCGGTGGCTAGGGAAGCCAGCTCCCAGCAAAGGCCGCCGGGTCGCGGTGTCCCTGGGAGCCCGAGGGTCCGCGCTGGCCGGAAGGGACCCAAGCACTGCCCAGGCGCAAGGGAGTCTGGGAGAGCGGGTGTTTCGGGCGGCTAGAGCCTGACTCCCGGCTCTGGACTACCCGGAACTCCAGGCCTCCCCAAACTGGAACTCTTCTGGGGGCCCACGCCGGGTCCCCGCGAAGACCAGTTCATGTAGACAAGAGGTGCGTGCGTGCGTGTGTATTGTGGTTGTCCTTTAAGATGACCAAAAGCTTGGAAAGCATCCCGTGCCCTTCTTCCTATTGGCCAATACTCCTCTACCTGCCCATTCCCTAGAGCAAAAGAATCTCTCCAGGGATTTGCAAAGAATTAGCCCTTTTTTCTAGGCCAAGGGTCAAAAGCTCCTAGGCGACTCGGAATCTCGTTTTTGCACCGAAGTCTCAGAGGGCCAGCCCAGTGAGAGGTGAAGGCAGGCGGTGTGGCAGGGCAGCACCTGGGCACTAGTTAATTAGCGATCGCTCCCGGAGTCTGAGAGTCACCGAGACCCTGAATGGACAACTCAGGTGCAGGCACTTTCCGGGGAAACTGTCAAAAGTTCCTGTGAACGGTCTGCTACAGGGCCAAAGCTGTCCTTGGGGCAGCGCCTCCCGGGTGGGATTCTGGGACCAGATTTTGGGGGAGGGGAACAAAAAGCTGAAAATGCAGAGCCTCATTCTGGAGCCACTCCCTCAGATCCCTGCTCTCCCGGCAGGCCTCTCACTCCTCTCAGAGCCGGTCAGCGCCTAGTGCTGCACAGGCCCTTAAGGCCTCAGCCTCCTCTGATCCCACTGGGGTTGCCCGCAACACAGCCAGCGGGGGGTTGGGGGGGAGGGAGAAGGGCCCGCTTTCATCTTTCCTAACCTCCAAAATCCTGTCCCCACGCAAACCTGGGCCCGTTTACCAGGAACCGCAGGGCCTTGGGGACCACTGGCAGTCCCGTTCCCCGCCTCCCCTTGCTCCCTTTTTCAGCCCTTGCCCCTCCCGCCGCCCCCCCCCCCCTCCCCATATCGCTGCTGGAGGCTGAACGCCCGCTACCTTCTTTGTCCCGGGGATTGTTATTCTAAGTGATCCGGAAGGGACTGTCAGTCGTTACCCTTTTACCTAGGCAGGGATGCTTAAGGAAAGCATCGGTCACACCCACACATTATTCCGAGACAGGCTGAGGTTTTATGGAGTCTAGCCGCTCCCCTGGAGGGCGGGCGCACGCTGCAGGCAACGGGCCACGACTTACCTGGCGGGTGAACCCGTGCAGAAATCCCAGACTTACCCTGGCAGCAGAAGCAATACTCCAGAAGTCCTATAGCTCACTGCAGTACTGTTCCCGCTGCTAGGGCACGGCTGAGTGCGGGCACCGCGGCCCTCCGGGAGCACGCCGCGCCCCCGTACTCCGCCCCCCGCCGCGGGCCCACCCCATCCCCTGCCCCGCAGGGCAGGGCAGCCCTCCCGGGACAAGGGCCTTGCAAAGAGAGCAGACGGATCCGAGGGACTGAGTTCCCAGCCCACCTACCTGCTCCCGAGCCGGCCTCGGCGGGAAGCCGGCACTCGGCGGCAGGAGCACGAGTCCGCGGACTCCCGCCTTCTATTTTCCCCGCGAGGGGGTATAGCAGCGCCTCACGTTTTGAATGAATCATAGCACTTCAAAACATGAATTGCTGCTGCATCCCCTCGGAGTCAACGAAGGGGGGGTCTCGCTCCTGGGTACCTGCGGGTGAAGAAAGACTCCATGATTGGGAGCAAGCCCCGCCCCACCCCGCCCCACTGCGAGGAATCAAAGCCAAAACTCGGGACTGCGACGCATCTCTTCAATGGATGTACTTTTAATGACTTCGCCATTTGACTACCAGGATCTGCTAGTGGACTGGAGGGTGTGGCTCTCAATTTTTTTTTTTCCTCGAGGATGAGTCTTGGAAAAGTATAGTAGTAAAAAGCAGAGCCTCGGCAAATAGAAATTAGGGTGGGAGAGAAGCTGACTTCGGAAAGGGGACGGATAATAAGATTAAGTAAATTGAGACCATTTGGCAACATCTGGATCACTCTTGCCAGCTTCAAAGTCTTGATTGTAAGTCTCATGCATTGTCCCGGTTTGCAAAAACTTCTCATTTACTGGCAATAGTTACAGATGACTGAAAGGAGATAACCCCAATCTCTGGTAGCCTCAGCCGATTGTAACATCCAGGACACTGGCAAAATATAGATTCATCTATAGGAGCATCAGATGTCCCTTTTCAATCACTGCTAGTGTTTTCCTGCTTATAGTACACACCGTGCTTTGGATTACTTTAAGCGCACCAAAGAATGAGAAATTTGTGTAGATGGGATACTTGGATGTTCACATGTTAAACTGGTTACTCAAATTTTATAAATAATTTATACGTATCCGTGTCATACATCAAAACATCAATCAAAAAGTTTCAATGCTTGATGTCAAATTGCCACTTCCTGTCTCAAGCAGCTGCATAGAAACTCTTTCATGTCCTGAAATGGCCGACACTGTACATACCCCTTAATGATTAACTCGTTAAATACCACTTTTCCTTTTTAAAATGGACACCGATCCGCACTAAGTTACATGCACACCCCTTTCATTTCAGCAAACTATTCAATTAAGCATAAGACAGAAACAAAACAAAACACCCTGAAGCCCTCAATCACAAACCTGAAGGTTAAAATAACAAAACAAGGACAAAACTCCAATGGTTTTGAAAGTTAAAATACATTTCCGTACAAGTAACAGAGATTTCAAAGTACACAAGTCTAGTAAGTGTTTTGTTTCTTTAAAACTTTTATCCCTTTTGTAAAAGTGGTACAATGAGTGTTAGGTGATCTATTTATTAACAAAATGTGCACAGTATTTAAATGAAGCTAAGTACAAAATTCATAACACCAATATACTTTCCTGTCAGGATAAACAACCTCATTAGTAAGAACCCCACTCCCTAAATTGGGGGCATTAAATGTCTCTAAATTCCATCTTGTTTTTGGCTATGATATTTACAAACAACTTTTGCATTGAGCTTTGAGATTAATGGAGGGAAACGTCGTTGGTTGCCCTTAAAAAGAAAAAAAAAGAGAACATATTTAGCAAATGTTAAATTGTACTTCAGACCCCCACAACTTTCTCCCAAATCTTTTCTGTTCCAGACACACATGTGAGCCGTCACCTCAGATGTTAAAGTCACCTCTACATTAACATTTCCTTAGTTGACTACGGAGAAAAACAAAAGTTCCATCCAAATAACAGCACTGTGCCTTCCAGATTGATTTGGTCAACTTGCTGGAATTGAATTCATTTATGGCTTGCAATAACCCCAACGACTTACAGCCCTAAAAAGCCACCTCACTCCCCTAGTTTACGTATTTCCCCGGAGACCGAAATTTACTTACGAAAAGCAAGCACAAAGAGGCTTCTTGTCATTTCAGGAGAGAGTCATTCGCTGATACAATAGACAAAGAATCAATACCTTGGAGTTGCCATAGCCCCACCCCCTGCTTAACTGTGCTGTGTTTGGCCAAATGATTTAAGAGCCAAAGAATCCGCCTCTTCCTCTACTCAGATTTTACAACGTTTTGTCTTTTAATTTTGTAGGTGTTCCCCCTCCCCCGTACCCCACACCCCAAACACACGCTGTGCCTTCCCCAGACGCATTCAATCCAAACTTTCTCAATGTCAAGTTTCGCACAGCGAAAACTAAACAACCTTGGACATTTTAATTTGGAAGAGACAAAGCAAAATCAATCATACATTGCTTTCCAAGACATATTTTACTACTGGCAAATAAGAGTCACAAAAAGTCCACTCAGATTCGGTCAAAATCAGTCACTTCCGACCCCGGCGGGGCTGGCAGTCGGTCGCTACCCCTTACTCAGTTTTCTCTCCCCGCCCTTCCATGTTAGTTTTTTTTTTTTTTTTTTTCAGCCCGTTTCCTAAGAATTTTCCCCGTCGTACTCATTTGCTAAACACTTTAAAGCTCGGTTTCGCCCCGACCCTGGTACCCAAACTTGCCTTCCAACCCCCAAAGCGACACAGAACTGCTTTTTTTCCCCCAGAATTATCACTAGATTTTGTTTTCAGTTTGCCATAAGCAACGTTACAATCGGGAAAAACACAAACCAGCAAGTCCCTTTTTTAAAAATCCCATGTCACCTCTGGCTCCACTTGAAAATGGCGCCGAAATCGAAGAACTTCTTAAATTTCATTGTAAGCTTTTTGCAAAGGTTTCTGGGATTTTCCTGCGAAGCTGCTTCGCTGCCGTCAGAGAGCTAGCGAACGGGCCAGCAAGCCGGGGCGGGGTGGGGGGAGGAAAAGAACGGTGGGGAGGCAGAGAGGGAGAGACAGACAGACCAACCGACAGCCAGCGAGGGAGAGGGACCTGGGCAGGCAGGAGGGCTGGGACTTGCGAGACAGCGAAGTTGCAGGGCGCGAGGTGGCGGGCACCGCGCAACCAGGACGAGGAGCCGGCAGCCGGGGTCGCGGGCAAGGAGGGCGCGCTCTCGCTCTGGCAGTGGCCGAAACTCGCAGAGCAGCGTGGCGGAAGCAGAGCAGGCGGAGCGGTTGGAGCGGACGGAGCGGAGCCGAGCGAGGGGCTGGAGCTGCGCGCACCCAGGGAAGCGCGCCGGGCAGCCAGCAGCCAGCCTCCTGGAGTGGCCCTAGAAAAAGCCGGCTGGGGGGGCGTGGCCACGCCGTGCTCACGCTCCCCGCCCCCCTGCTCCCCTCCGCTCCTCTGGGGCCCGGGGGCGGAAGGGGGGAGGGGAAGAGAGGGAGCAGTTGGGAAGCAGGGGTGTGCGGGCGCTGGACGCCAAGGCGTTGGCTCTTGGCCAGGGAGGGTCGAGAAGGGCACGAGGGCGCCCAGAATAGCCTATACAGAGCTGAATAGCGGCAGCGGGGCTGGGGTGGGGTGGGGTGTCAGGGAGAAAAAGGGGGACGTTGGAAAATGCCAATGCCAAGGGCACAAGGTAGCGCAGCGTACACCTAGGGACCAGTTCGATGGACGCGAATCGCGCTCACCGGCCCCTCCTAGAGTTCTTTGGGCTGCCGGGTGGGCGCAAAGTGGTAGAGCGAAGCCTCTGGCACTGGGCTTCGCAGCGGTGCCTGGAGAAGTTTGGGGGGCTCACACCGCGTGACTGTAGCTCTCACCACGCCTTAGACTCCCCTGCGCTGCTAAGCTCTCCGACACACAAGGCCATGGTCAAAGCCATTCCCATATGCGCTGGCCCTCCTCCTTGGGGGTGCATAGCACGGAGGGAAGGCACTATTGTTTACACGTGTGCACGCAGTTCAAGAAGGGAAACTGAGTAAGCTATTAGTGATGATGTTATTTCGTAAGTGTGAAAATGCTATTGAAGGCAAATAAGAGGATATTCTTATTCCTAGAAGATGCACGCTGAAGGGAAGAGGGGTGAAATGTCACGTTGTCTGCATTTTTCAAATGATGCAGCTAGCTTTCGCGCGCGCGCGCACACACACCCACCCACCAGGGAAGGGAGCCCGGGAGGGGGGGAGGAGAAAGTAATGTGTGTTAACAGTTGTTGCATGCGTGTGTGTGTGTGTGTGTGTGTGTGTGGACAAACGCTTGTACTGTTCTTTCAACTTCGCTGGATATTTGCAAAATGTCATAATAAAAAGATTGGAGGCACTTTTGAAATAGGGCCTGAACACTAAGAAAATGTTTCTCTCTCCCTGTCCCGGGTGGGACAAATCTGCGAGAAAGCAGGGCTCAAACCCGGTGGGTCCTGGACAGAAAGAGCAATGGGTAGCGCTGGCCCGCAGCGGCCACAGCCCAGGCCACTGGCTGCGGGCCAGAAGGGGCCAGCGCACCTCGGGGCAGGTGGGCAGCCAGGCGTATCGAGGTGCCACGGAGCTGCGGGGGCGCGCTCGCCTCGGGAGGTGGGGAGGGGGCAACCGGAGGCTTCCCAGGCGGAATTCAGCTACGCCAGCCGCAGTCAGGATCGGTGGGGGTCCGCCCGCGCCACTCTGGAGCAAGGAAACCCCGGTGCTCCGGGAACAGAGCCGCGCGCGTCCGCCGCTGCCGCCGCCCGTGTACCCCGCACTGTCCGAGGGACGCCTAAGTGGTTGTGGCCTGTAGACAGCGCTCAGGGTAGCCAAGAACCGCGTGCAGGCGCTGGAGAAAAAAAAAAATTCAGGTGTGGGAAGAAAGTAACAGTGAAAAACAGGCACGCACGCTCACGCGCGCAAGCAGTGTGCAAAAATAAATGCACTCGGCGTTGGAGTTTCGGCAGCTACTTAACTCTTAGATGTATGTTACTGTAATTTTTCTGTAGAACGCCTGCAAAATCGGAAACCGAATTTCTTTGCAGCCTGCGTGTGCGCGTTCTTGCAGGGCCTTTCGCTGGCGTCCGTGGCTGTTTTGGGGAGGAGGGGGTGGGAACGAAGGGAAGGGGACTCTTCCGGGGTCTGCAAAGCTGTTTGGAAAAGTTCACCAGAAAGATTGTACAGATCAAGAGTTTCTTTGCAGGAAACGTTTTCAAACGGCTGAGATTTCTACGGGCTTCGGTGCGCGAGCAAAACTCTTTAACTACTAAGCTTCACTTTCCGTATTACCGGCTTCAAAACCCTTGGTAGACAGGGCCAAGTTTGCCGGACTGGGAGACGTGACGGAGCAAGCTTCTAAATCCTCAGATCATTTATAAAGCTCCTGAGTCCTTGAGGTGAAAGGCTTGACTGGGTTTTTGAGGCTCGGCGGGCCCCTTTGCTGGAGCCGCAGCCTGCAAACATTCATTTTCCTACCTAAATGAGTTAGAAGGGCAGAAGACTCCAGCGCTGGAGATGAAAGTTGAGTGTGTGGCATGTCCTCAACAGAAAAAAAAAAAAATCGCAACAGCTCTCTTTATTAAACGCCTTTTGCTACATCAGCAATTTAGAGAGCCAGTTGAATATTGATGAATTCTTTGAGGGTGAGTAATATGGCTTCCAGGCTGGAGAAAGTGAGGGAGGACCGGCTTAAGTATTTACTCAAGTGAACAATCTTCAAATATTTTTTCAAATAGGGTGTCTCAGGGATTTTCGGAGGACCTCTGAAACAAACCCTGATTCTACAAATGGCTTCCCCAACTTGACAAACTCAGCGGACATAAATTGCCCTAAGAAGTGCTGAGACACTCCTATGGGCACAGCTCAGCCCACCCCCCACTCCCTCCTCGGGGTGTCAGGGAGGCCCCCAACTGGCAATCAGGCAACTTCTCATTGGGCAGCTAGGAAGCTGAAACGAAATGCACACCATCTATTGTTGTCACTTCGAAAATTTTGTTTCAGAGCGGGTATTTTCAAGAAAAATGCACATATTTGCTTTTCCATTTTCGTCCATGAAACATTCAAGTTACCTTGATAAGAAATCATTACAGTCAGCTGTGGGAGGAGAGGTTCGCAATGGCTTTAAAGTGCGCTGAAGGCGCAGCTGAGAAAAATAAATCAGCCCTAGGCTGGAGATAGCAAGGAAGTTATGCATAACGAGGTATTTGGAGTAATTTCTGGAAAGTGGTTTCTGTGAAACAATGGCGACAGAATCTCTGGACATAGATACCAGGGCATCATTTGAGCCGAAACTTTTTTTTTTTTTTGAATCATCAAGAAAATTTCTAGGACTTAACATTTAAATTTTAAATAGCAATGCCTTTTATGATTATGTTTTTCATGAAGGCCTTGAACTAGGGAAACAAGACTTTCTTTATGTTGTAAATATCCAGAAGTCTTCAGCGAGATAAAAATCAGGATAGAGTTACAGATTTAACAGAAAGAAAACAACTGGAATCGTGTTGTGAAGCTTCTAGTGTGTTGTTTGCAGAGGCTGTTTTTTCTGGGTTCAAGCAGAGGGTAGTGGACTAGCAGTGCTCGCCCCGCTATCACGTTAAACCGAAGGGAGAGTGCTTTTGGTAGTTTATATTTTTATTTTAGGAACTTACGATAAAAGATCATTCTTTGCAAACTTAGAACTTTGAGGGAAAAAAAAAAAGTTTCAACCTTAACTTCTCCCACCCCATGATGTCACCAGGAAAAAGTAGAATGAATTAGTAAAGTTTTCCTTTCTGCCAAAGAGGAGCTTAGTAAGTCATTGATGGCTGCTGCTTTTGATTTCTCCATCTCTTTTCCCTCCTCAAAGACACAGAGTCACCGCCTTCAAAGCTGCTAGGATTTCGTCTTTAAACACAGTGTGTTTTTCTTGTTGGGTGTGTACTCTTATTGTCTTAATTACCCCTGGATTTTGGCCCATTAAATCGAAGACTATCTCAGATGACAGACATGATGAGACCTTTGTGTAAAGGAGGGCCACAATGAAGGGGTGGGAAGGGGTGCGGGACCGCCTCATCTCTCTCTGCGCTGTGCCGGGCCTATAGTGTCACTGGCCTGTGCTACGAGCAGGACTCGCTGTGGTTTGCACAGAGTGTAAACTCAGAGAGTAAAGCTTAATGATAATGGCATAGAGATGGAAAACTTATCGTTTGCGTGCACGGTGGACAGAATGGAAGTTCAAGTGTAGTCTTGGATTTGGCCACTTGCATTTCCCATGACAACTGTGGTCATCAGTTTCTAATCTTCCACTGCTAGCAGTTTCCCTGACCCTCACCTAAATATGAGAAAGAGAAAAAAACAACTCCAATATGTATCAATGGCAGCAGGGCTGATGTCATCATATGAAGGGAGGCTGAAGCGCATTCGGACACTTGGTGGTTCCATTTATATCCAAAACAGAAAAAGGAAAAAAAAAAAAAAAAACCACAAACCTCCAAAGTGACCTGCACCAAGGAGGTCCTGTGAGAAAGGACAGAGCTCCCGCCAAGTCTGAATGACGTCATTTTCAGGCTCTGGCTTTGTAAAGGGGAAATGCTCCTGGGGGCAAATACTATCTTAAGAGCTGGGTAGAGAGAAGGAAATTGAAGGGTGCTAAGGGTTGCTATCTTTGTTTAAAACCCAGATGGGTAGCTCTGTGTTTTCGAAAGCATGAAATATTTTGTTGAAATACAGGAGGGAAACTCCACGTGTGGAACTGGAGCATTTACACAAAAGATGTTAACACTGAATTATCCAGAACTCACTTGCAGTTCTTGTTCTTGTCTTCATGCATAACTAGTCGCATTTTTAAAAACAAGACTTAGCAGGTAGATTTTCTAGGACTGGTGGAAAATGCCTTTTTTTTTTTTTTTTGCCTCCCATCACTTAAAATAATTCTTGGGTTTGTACTGAGGTGGGATTTTGCAGTAGTTAATGACCAGAGGAAGTGCCATCCATTGGCATGAGAAAGAAAATGGAGATCTGGACGGAGTTTTTGATTTTAGCGTTTGCCCTAAATCCAGGGCTCAGCGGCTTCTTGAGCTCGGAGTCCCTAGGAGTACTGAGACCATAGGCAGGGAAAAGTGAAAAGAGTGAGGTGGAGGGTAAGGGGTAGGGCGGAAGAATGAAAGGAAGGAAGGAAGGAAGGGGAGGAAAGAAGAAAACACAAATTAAACCTTCTCTTCCTACTGTGTGTCCTCAAGTTCAAACCCTTAACTTGCCATCACTGGGTCATCAAGTGGACTCCCCAACTGATCCGTCAGTGGAGTTTTGCCCCTCTTCCAGTGGTCCCCTGAGTTCTTCTTGGAGAACACAATTCTGATCATATTAATCATATGATGTATATGATATACATAATATAATCATACGATCATAACTAAT